GATCATTTCAATTTAAAACTAATTAAGACTCTAAGAGCCAGTGTACTCATTCCAAAATGTTTCTAGATGGTGGTTATAAAATATTTTAAATCCTTTATCCCAGTTCATGCATTCACATCTCTCGAGGAAATTTACCTAATACCCCATTCATCTATCTGGTTTCTTCCAAACCCCAAGCCTTTCCTCTATGCAGACCTTCTCTACCTGAGATCTGTCCCCAGCTCCTGTGCGGGGCTGAACCTAAATCATACCAGACCCCATGTACTCCCTAAAACATGAGGCCTTACATAACCTCGCGTGGTTAGCCGGGTGTCTCTCATCCTTCCATAACGTTTATCTTCATTTCCTTTCTTAATTTTTCCTAAGGCTTGACACTTTACAAACTATTGATTTTGCTCAGAAGTTTATTTTAAGATACTCATACTTTTACATCTGAAAGTGCTTCTTTTGTCTACCTGGTTGCAAATAAGGGCTACCAAGGACAGCTCTCCTCTGAGCCCCAGCTCCCCTTAGTGAAGGAGCATTCCTTTGTGCTTGTCCTGTGCATAAATCACAAGGGAGGTTTGTTGTTGTTGTTGTAGTTTTTGTTGTTTTTTAAGAAATACACTTCAAAAATTTATTCAAGGGTCTTAGAGATTGGAAACACAATTAGGCAAAAATCCAGAAGTATTCTGAGAAGAAAGGAAAGTTGCGAATTCTTAAAGTCGCATCCTTTAAACTAGTCAGTTTTGCATTGTTAGTTGGTCCAGGATGCTGATCAGTCGGATGTCAGGTGGTCCGGATGATGGGTGCCAGGTGGTCTGGTCCTGTAAGACCTGGCTGACCCAGAAGGTGGTATTTATAAATAGTCCTCCAGCCCCCCTCTTTAAAGCTTGTCCACCTAATCCTCTCCTCTCTCAAGATTGGAAGTGACTTGACCTTTGAGTCTTAAAACTCAGGCTCTTTTTATCTGAAAAATCTGGTTGGCAAAAAACTGTTAAAACAAAAATGTTTTCAGCCAGATGATGACCAGCCATCAAAGCTTACCTTTCATTTCCAACATTTTTAGCCAAATATGCCTCCTCTCTAGAAAACCAGTTTTTCTTATTATTTAAGACACCTACCTCAATAATTTTTATTTCTTTTTACTCATAGGCTATCATGGACTTGTATTTTTATGATATATAAAGCTGTTTCCAAAAGGCTGCATTTCTACTGTGAACTAAGAGCATTCCTTTTCACCCCTAAAATAACAGAACTTTGGATGGGCTCTAAGTAGCCTCTTTCCCATCGTTGTTGGATGGAGCTGTGTTTTTATTTCTCTAATTCTGAATTATTTATTGAGGCTTTTCTCTCTGACCTGGGCCAATAGCAGTAATGCTTTTCCGGAAGCTTCTGGGTCTGATCCAGTTGTTGCTTTGTGAGGGGAGCCTCTTCTCCAAGGCTTCTATCTCAGTAGTTTTGCTAGAATGCCCCACTTGAATGTGAGCCTGGAACTTCAGATGTAATTTTAATTTTGTTTAGTTTTGTTGTTTAAGAAAGTCTGGTGTCCATTGTGGCTGAATTGGTACATTAGAGGCATCTGTAGACAGAATGAAAAACATGTACAGAGGAGGCTGAATGAGTATTGTGTCTTCTGAAAAGGGTGAGCTTAAATATCTAAGGTTGTTCTGTTTAGGTCTGAGCCGTATAGCCTTGCTAGAGCAGTAGTATCTTATCGTATTATTTCTCTAGTTGGGGAAGCTTTCTCTTAACATGGAGACCCCCAGATGGGTAAGTATATTTGTAGTAATTAGAATTGTAAGACATGACCTAAGCACGTATGTATGCTTTTGACTTGCTTTTGAATTTAGTTTAAAAAAAAAAAAAAGTGGAGTTTAGAAATACGAAGCTGAGGAGAGAAAACCACATAGGTGCAGAAGAGCAGCAGTATCTGGCAGTATAACGGGCACAGAAGGAGAGTTTTTAGGGTTGCATATACCGGGCTGGGATTAGCACAGCCAGCACGACTTCAGAGCAGTGGGAGGTTTGCACAGGGACACACAGCAGGTTGAGGGCACAGGAAGCTAGTGTACCATCACATTCAAGGCACTCTGCTGGATAACCTTTGGTTATCTTCTGTGACTTTTCTTATATAACAGCAAAATGTAGAAAGAATCTCTTCAGAGGGTTAAGTGTAGTACCATTGCATACATAATGATTCTAAAACTGTGTTGTTCAGGGTTCTCCACTGCAAGCTACCCAAACAATGCAAAAGGTTCGAAGACTCTCTGGGGCTTCGAAAACTGACTGGCAGTGGAGGACCAGGGCCTGCAGCAATGGCCACACTGCAGGAAAGGTCATGGTGGCACCAGCTGCTGCCCCACCCTGAAGAACTGCTGACTTTTCCTCAAATCCTATGTGACTACACTTTCAGGCGCCCAGAACCAGGTACCAATGTGTCCAAGCCTAGGTCATGCACGCATCCAGCTGCACCAGGACCAGGAAAGAAGATTCTGGATCTTCTAGCTGATATAGTGCAAAGCAGTCACTGCCTCCCATTGGGCAATGGAGGCCGCAGGGTGCTGTTGGGAAGAGGATTTGTTTGCTAGATAGCCCCCCCCAAAAAAAAAAAAGCTGTATCAACTATTTATCTGAAGCTCAGTCTCTTCACAAACAATTACCCATCTTTCTCATACTAAGCCTCTGTGCATAGTTAATATTAATTTTCTTTTCCTTTAATGATTTGTCCACTGTTTTTTAAAAATAAGCAAAAAAACTTGAGTCTTTTTAAATTTAACCTATATTTTTATCAAAATTGGGTGTGTACATTGTTCTACCCGGTTTCTGATGAAGAGCATGTCCTCCCACTCCTGTTTTCTCTCCCCCAAGAAAATTATTTTCAGTTCTTTCTAGCTGATTTACTTGGTATTTATCTTGATATTTCTCAATAGCACACTGTGACTCTGTCTTAATATTTTTGTTTTAGGCATTATTTATTGACCTGTCATTATGGAAAATCGTTTTTCTTTCTCAACACTGTACACCTGACCACACATGCACACTCTTCTTCCTGACTCTGTACTGGCTCTTTAGTCTCTGTTTTTATTATCATGACTCTGTCCATACCATTTGCAGTAAAGCCATGTAGTCTGCTGTGACTACTGCTCACTTCTAGTACCAACTTTGATTTTTTGTCGCTGATGTTAATAATTGTCTTGGTTTTTTATTCATTTGCTTAGGTTTTCTGTACTTCTCACTAATTTAATCCCCACATCCCCCCTAATTGTATAATTCTATTTTCCATATAAATACATTCTATGAATTTCATCTTATTATTTTTCCTAAGATTTTATTTATTTATTTATTTTTAGAGAGGGGAGGGGAGGGAGAAAGAGAGGGAGAGAAACATCAACGTGTGGTTGCCTCTCACGCACCCTCTGTTGGCCTGGTCCGCAACCCAGGCATGTGCCCTGACTAGAAATCGAACCGGTGACTCTTTGGTTTGTAGGCTGGCACTCAGTCCACTGAGCCACACCAGCCAGGGCGAATTTCATCTTCTGAAAAGGAAATCTGTCCCTGATCATTCTAACCTGCTTGTGTCTGGACCCCTAGTCACCCTCCAGGCCTGCTAAAGAGCTGTTACTTTTGGGTCTCCTTCACTGTCACTCCAAGGACACTGTCACCTGTCTCTTGTTTTAGGTCCCTTGTTTTCTGGATCCAGTGTCATCATCTTCATTGGTGTTCCCTGTCACTTTGAAGGAGCATATTATCATTGGTTTCTTGAGAAAGTAATTTTTTTTTGTTTTGGGAATCATTTCCTTGAGAATTTCAAAGGCACAGTTCCATTTTTTTTCTATCCTTCAGAGTTCCTGTTGAAAAATCTGTTTCATTCTGAGTTTTTCCCCCCATTCTGACTTTGACTGTTTATGTGACAGGTTGTTTTCTCTCTGAAAACTTCTCTTTAACCTTGACATTCTGCAAGTTCACAACAATGTGACTTGGGCACTTGCTCCACCCTTTTAGTCTGGGAAGTTTTCTTGAATCAATTCATTAATGACTTCCTCTGTTTTCCACTGTTCCTTCTCAAACTTCTATCAGTTAGATGCTGATCTCTTGGACTGATATCCACTTTTCGTATCTTTAATCTCCTGCTTCCTATCCTTGCTGTCTTTTTCTTTCTGAAAGAGTTCTTCAGCTTTGTTTTCCAACCTTTGCTTTGAGTTGTTAGGTTCTGCTATCAAAAGGTATATTTTCTGGCCTTTTTTTGTCCTCTGAGTGTTCTTTTTTCTTAATTGGTATTATTGACTCATTTATTGTATGATGAACAGTATAGCAGCTAGAAAATACAATTACTTATGTTAGAAAGTGTTTTCTGACAGAAATTATCACTTGACCAACTTCAAAAGTTGTAATCTTGAGTCAGAGAAAAATCACCTAAATTATACAAAATTCAATAGTACATAATTTTTAGTGTCTATAAGGGTTATGTTGTTTATGGTTGTTTTATTTGTTTTTAATGCTCCTTTTTAAAAATTTGTATCTTCCTCTGTAGTCTCTTTTATCCTTTACATTGCTTTTTTCTCTTTGTTTTGGTCTGTCTTTCATAGTAAAAGACTTTCAGGATTTTCTGGTGATCCTTGGCTATATTCCCATTTTTAAGAGCAGGCTACTGAAAAGCTACTTGAGAGCTCTGGACTTGGGAGTAAAACTTATGGACTGTGCTCCTCCCTGTGCAGTGGTCTGCCTGAATCATTTTCTGGGATGCTTCTCATGCGTACTGCTTTAGGTCTTTTATCTTGGCTGGTCAGATTCTGTTGGAAAATTTAAATTTGCACTGTTCATTTTCTACTCTTCCTAGATGTGTACAGTCCTTGGGTTCTTATGTATAGATAAAAATATCTCCCCTGGGTTTTCTTCTTCTTTCGATGTCTTGTGGAGTCTCCTGCATTCGTATTTGCTTACCTGGCACTTGCAGTCAGGTCAAGGACAAAGTAGGAGTCACTTTCAGTGTCTTAATTTTCCTCAACATATCTGTTCAGAAATTGGATGAACCTTCGGGATGCTGAGACGGGGAAGATACTCTGGCAAGGAACAGAAGACCTGTCTGTCCCTGGAGTGGAACACGAAGGTACTCTCCAGCCCTTTGTCTGCCCAGGGCTGTGATGACTGGGGGGCGGGGCCTAAGCATCAGGGAGGTAAGTTAATGCAGGCCTGACAGGAGGGTGAGCCCTGGCGGCACAGTGCGTTAACCCACATGTTACTGAGATTTCCAGTTTCTTAAGTTTCTGCCTCCCACTTCCCAAAACCCACTTTGTGTTGAAATTTTAGCATTAGAATATACCCAAAGATATAAACGAAGATCTCAACCTTTTTTTTCCAAAATAAAATTTGCATTTTTATCTCCCTGAAATAAAAGAAACACTAAGAGGCTAATAGTAGAATAGAGAGGAGAGAAGGTGCCCAATCAGCTTCTTTCCTGATGAGAGTAGCTAGGTAAGACCCTTAAATGCACTAAATTTGGTGCTCCTTGAAGATCTTTCAGTCACATACACTTGACAAATTGGGGACTTCTTTAATTAAAAAATGTAATTCTTTTACTAAGGCATTCTCTGAAATTTAATATAGATAATGGGTTTTCTAAGTCAGCTTCCAGGAACTTGAAGCGCCATAGTCATGTAGTTTTTCATTTAGACTGGCTTCAATATTTCTTTTTCTTTACCAGCCCGTGTTCCCAAGAAAATTCTCAAGTGCAAGGCAGTATCTCGAGAATTGAACTTCTCTTCAGCAGAGCAAATGGAAAAATTCCGCCTGGAACAAAAAGTTTACTTCAAAGGGCAGTGCCTGGAAGGTATTCCATGCCTGAAATCCAGGCTTAGGGTGACAGGGACAAAAGGCAAGACCCAGTGAGCTATAAAGCACTGCTTTGATAACATTCATTTTGCAACTCAGTTTGTGACAGGATTCCTACACCCTGCAAGACTGGGGACCCCCGGTGAGAACAAACAAAACCAAAGTTGTCAAAGCCCAAAGTTGTCATTGGGCTCTGAGCCCAACAAAAGAGTTTCTGACACTGGTCCTGCTTTGTCACTGACGTGGTATTGTAACATGGTCACAAGGAAGCTGCTGATCAGGGCCTGGCACAGTGCTCTCCATAGTCTCATACAGATTTGACTGGCAAGGCCACTCCACATTGAATTCCCACCATTAAGTGTAAGAGTGCCCATATGTGTCGTAGAGCTAAAGTTCCTAGTGGAAAGGCCTGTTCTGTATTTCTGTTTACAATTTACATCCAGCCTACTTCTAAGAAAGCTTTGCTTATGCTGTACTAGCTCACTGGCCCTAGTCTGTTAGGCCCCAGAGCATAGGGAACAGTCCCTGCGCTCTGTGGCTCAGAGGGCCAGCCCGAAGTCCTTTGTGCCTCTGTCCTGGGAGGTATCTGATGGCTTCATTGGTGGTTCTTAGGTAAAAAGGCTCACTCTAAAGGAGGGGGACGCGGAGCCCTGCAACACTGACTGGGGCGCCCACTGACCTGCTTCTCCTTCTTCCCTCAGAATGGTTCTTCGAGTTTGGCTTTGTGATCCCTAATTCCACAAACACCTGGCAGTCCCTGATAGAGGCCGCACCTGAGTCCCAGATGATGCCTGCCAGCGTGCTAACGTGAGTGAGCAGGCCGCAGGAATTGTGGAGCATTTCTAGAAGCAGGCATTCCGGGCAGGTGGGACTCATGGTCCCATTCCGCAGGCAGGCAGCCTACGTTGAAAATGAGGGCAAAAAGAGTTTCCAGGGGTATCTGAGTTTACTGGTGACTGATTTTTGTCACATGCAGAAGACAGTGTAATAGAATGGAAAGGATAGAAAACTTTAGATTAGACCTTTAGGCTAAATTCCTGATTAACTCTGACTAGCTGTGTGCTCTCAGACGATCTACTTTACCCCTCCGGGCCTTACTCTTCTCCTCTCTAAACATAGAATTAATAATTCTTACAGAGGTGTAGTGAGAATAAAGTGAGATGATATGGAAGGAAACTGGCATATAATATATATTATATTAAATCCATACTAATTTCCTTCCTTTCCTGATTACCAAACTTCTGGTACTCTGTACTTTGTTTAAATGGCCTTTAACAGAATCTGGCAAGCCCTAATTCTGTTTTAGAGGATAATATTTGGTTATAGTTTTTCAGAGACTAGCTTGCCATTTTAATAGCAGTGCTTTCAGCTCAAAGAATTATTAGTTTGTCATTTGTCCAAAAACACTGTCAATAACTACCCACCCACCATTTTCTCTCAGGAAAAGATACTAGTCTTCCAGAGGTTTTAGTAATAACGCCTAGTAATGACTTATTCACACAGAGACTTGTGTAATGTTGGATCATCTGTCTAAACAGATCCTTTATGAAAGCCACATTGAATTTCTAAATAGAGGTTATTTATAAGTCTTCAGTAGATCTTTAATTACAATAGTAGGTGTTTTATATTCTATAAACTATTCAGATCTTGAATTCCTTATTTATCTATTTTTAAATTAATTACCAGCAAAAATGTATCTGTCGGCTATTAATTACTCTGGGAAAGTACAGTGCAGTATGTAGAAGGCATTTTTTATACTTTATTAAGCTAAATTTGACTTCTTGGCCAGGCCTGATTTCTTTTAGGGATTAAAACCAGTAAGTCTATGATAACATAATTTAAGTTACTGAAGTCATATATTAGTTTTTAGAACCCCAAAACAATACCTCTGTTGCCCTTAACTTGGTTCAAAAATGGTTTGGTTTTGAAACACTGAGGTATCCACCAAGAAAAATGAAATTCTACTCTGCCCAATACAGGTGTATCGTTTGGGGTTCTTTGGTTGCTTGCCATAGAAACTGAGACTGGCCAACATGACAGAGCTGAAAGGTCTGAGCTCTGGGCAGCTCGAAAGATGCAGGTGGCAGGAACCTGTGGATGGTTTTTCCTCAAGGAGCAGCCCTAGGGAAGCATCCTGCTTAGGGAAGAGAGTCTGATTAGCCCAAATTACATCCTGTGTCCACCCCTTTGCCAGGTGAGGTAGGGGCCACTTGACTGACCCATGGACTGGAGATGGTTGGTTCCCCAAAGAAGAGCAGAGTGCTCTTGCCCAGAGTGAGGAGAGCAACGGTGTCATCAGGAAAAGTCCCACCCCTGCGATCTGCAGATTTTACGTTCATCAGAAAGTCAGTCACGTCTATAAGCGCCCTCGTGTGCAGCACACTCTCCTCCGGGCCTTAAGTGTACCAAGAAGGGAGACATGCTCTCTCTTCTGATTTCTGAACTCAAGGAAGACAAACCTAGTCACATAAGCTAAATGTCATATGAGGCTTCTAACCACATTATAGACTCAGATTTTACTGTCCCCAGGCCAAGGTTCTAGATGGGTGTATGTTCATGGGCCCAGCAGACCCCGATTGAAACCATTTGGTGGAAATGAAATCTGTCACCTAACACATCACTCTTTTGCCTTCTCTTCTTACTTATAGTGGGAATGTTATCATAGAGACAAAGTTTTTTGACGACGATCTTCTTGTAAGCACATCCAGAGTGAGACTTTTCTACGTTTGAGAGAAGAATGTATGTACATTTCAAGAATTTGGGTTTTTTGGGGGGAAGGAGGAAACTGTGTACTTTTTTCCTCCACACATTTAATTTTGGCACTTCTACCCCGATGCCCTCTACGACCAAACCTACCTGCGGCCACCAGGGGACCAGCTCTGTGTATGTAACCAGATGGCCTTCTTCCCTCAAGCAGCCATCTTCGGCTGACCAGACTTAACTCCCCACCTCAGACCAGGGCAGAGGGCATGCCTCGACTCTATCCCAGGGTAAACGTGGGACAGACACACACAGGAACTGATGCTGTTCCTGTCACTCCTTGCCTCCTCCTTGGGTCCTGCAGGAGACATAGCTTCCTTTGGCCCCTGGCTTTGGAAAATTCATGTTCTTGACCCACGTTTAGTCTTTTCCTACCGTTTCTATTTCATACATTCTCATACATTTAACTTGTAAAATAGACTGTGATATTATTATGTAATGAATTGAAACATATGAATTAAAATATTCCTACAGTCTTTAGCTTGGTACTGCTTTCATCTCTCCTTTCTCTGGACCATGACCCTGACTCCATGATGAGAAAAAGACATTTATCAGGCTCACAACTCTATTTTACTCCAGAGATCGGCTGATAGATTTTGCGGTTCCTGAGTGCTTCAGTTCCTGCTTTCCAAGAACATAAAATGTACCTGAACAAAATCTATGACCTCAACACTTGTCTTCCAGACATGATAGTTAGTGGTCTCTTTCACAACACACATGTATCCTTTATTTGTTGGTTTGTTGTCATTTTTAACTTTTCCCATGCCTTTATCATGTTCGTTTGTTTAAGGGGGTTCCAGAAAGGGTAGACGTTCTCAGTTGGTGGATTAGAGACTCATATTCCTAGTGAGAGAATAAGTTACACAATGACAAAGAGATCTCCTAGAGGTTGACCGGAGAAGCTGGGAAAGCACCCAGGAGGGCTGGGATGCTGGGGGCTTCAGAACAGCGGAAGCCAGTTGGAGAGAGAAGTGATGATTCTGTCTGCAGTGCTTTCAAGTCTGATGTAAGAGAAAAGTTTAAAGGGTTCTTTTTTAAGGAAAGTGCCTCTGAGCTACAAGTAGGCTTCGCTGTTCTTTATAAAATACCAACAATTAAGTGTTTTGGTTTCTGCAGTAGTAAGGCCTGAGACCAGATGAGAGGAGATACTTACTTGGCAAGATGAGTGAAGTCCCTACCATTAGATTCTAATGAGAGGTGACAGAAAGCAGATTATTTCAGACAGTAACCAGTGCTCTGAAGAGAACAAGACGGGGCAATGGCCGCATCAGTCTGGAGTGGGCAGGTGAAGAAACGGAAAGATATCAGCGCTCACCTTTTGACTACCAAAACAGGGTTGACCAGTCCCCAGCAAGCCAACGGCCTGGAAATCCAGGCTCTACTAGAAAGAAAAGATGTTTTAAATCTTTTAAACTCTCATCAGGAAAGCAAGAACCAGGCCCTGGCTGGGTAGCTCAGTTGGTTAGAGCATCGTTCTGAGACACACACCAAGGTTACAGGTTCAGTCCTCCATCGGGGCACATACAAGAATCAATGAATGAATGTGTCAGTAAGTGGAACAAACTCTCTCAAGCCCTCTCCCTCCCCCCCATTCCCTCCAATCAATAAATAAAAATACATATATATATATACATATATATATATATATTTTTTTTTTTTTTTTAAGCAAGAACCAAATGTGTACCTTTGATTGTCTAGTTTTCCACGAAGAACTCGGCATATGATAGGAGAGGCCCAGCTGTGTGGGAGGAAGGGAAGCCTGCCCCTTCCAGCCCGGTGTAGGATGGAGGGAGAAGTGAGGAAGCAGGACAGGGAGGTGATGTCCTTGCTATCCTTCACCCCACCCCCACCCCCGCCAGCCTTGGGTGGGAAAGGTGGATGGAAACACCTGTCCAGGTGTGGCAGAGAGATGAGAACTTCAGAAAGGGGCGAAAGATGGGCTGCCCCACAATGCAGTATTGACTTGGTTTCGTAAATGTCTCTCACATTGTCTTCCATCCCCACAGCCCCCTCCGCAGCTCTTCCCCTTCTGACTGTCCTTCACAACCAGAGAAAGCCCCAAGATGCGCATCTGACTGCAAAGGCCTCAGTACTGTCAAGTTTATTTTTAGAACTTCTGTCTTAGTGACCTGGTAAATGTTTTGTGACTTTCCAAAATGCCCTGTTAAAATGGTCCTCAGAATGAAAGCATCATTTGGCTTAGTTCGTTTTGGTGCTTTTAGCTGGTCTGAAACTGAGCAGCTTTGACTCTAGCTTTCAGTGAACCGAGGGGCAGAATGGAATGGAGAAGCAGAGATCTGGAGAATACATGTGGCTCCGAAGATGTACACCAAGGCACCCCAAGGCTCTGCAGCAAACTCATAAGAGGTCTGCAGGATCTTGTAATTTTCAAAGGAAATACAGTGACACAGGAGAACTGTCACACACTGCTCAAACTATTAGCTTGAGATAATTCGATTTCAACAGTAGAATGCACTACATTCTTTTTGGTGAGGTATCTTTGGGAAGCCAGGTTTTTGAAGGTCTTGGTGATAAGAAGCAAGTACCCTTCAAAAATCAGTATGAACAGGAAATAAGGGTGGTGGTGTCCAATCCGATCCCAAGGTTGGAGAAGCTGTGCTGTGCCCAGCTGACACACTCCCCATTAGGAGATCATTGTGATTATAAATGAAGTAAAAATATTTTTTTCTATCAATTTAGATGGCTTCCCCCCCACCAAAATTAACATGGCTGGCACTGTTAGGACATAAATACTTAATAAGTCACTTGTACCTAACTAGTTAATAAAGGAAATTATTACTTATTTTGGCCTAATAATTAGCAACTGGAAAAATTACTGAGACATTAAAGATATAGTGAACAGAGAATGTTTAGGGACCTCCACTAAGCCCTTAGTTTTAAAATACACCTTTCAGAAGATTAAAAACATACATCACCCTCTCTAGCCACAACAAATGGGTATTGACCGCCCACTTCTGAACTCTCAGCCGCTCTTAGTTCCACAGAATACTTTTGAGTCCCTGTACTTATTAAAGGAAATATATTCAAAGAAAAAAGACATTTATTCAGATTTCTTAGAATGGCTTTTTAAGTGACTTGATTTACTCAAATCACCCCCCAAGTAGCTCTTCTCAATTATAAAAGAATAAAAATTATTGTCACTTGAATTTTTAATTTGTATTATAGTTATTACTTTCATTTTGGGCTAATGTATGTGTATTTGAGCTAAACAGTATGCTATCTGAATATCTTACGGTGCACAGGACACCCTTATATGATGGTGCTATACATGATCAATCAGTCCTAACTAGGTAGAGAACCTGGGATTTTATTTGTTTTATGTTATTGCAGAAGTTGATAATGGTCATTTATTTTCGTTCATGGTACACTGTTGGCTATACATACTGTTTACTCAGGGCCTGGCCCTGGGTAAGGCTTGAAATGCAAATCATCTATCCCTGCAGACGTCTGCCAACTTTTAATTGGCTGATATTCAGCAGCAGGCTACAATTCATTTGGTACAATTAGACTAAGGTCACAACCAGTTTTTCTTGAAGTGCTTATATCACTTAAAAGTCAACATTTTATGATACTGAAATGGTGTTATGACCATAGTGATCCACAAACTATGGTTTGAGGACCATAGTGATCCTCAAACCTTCCCAGGCCCAAATGGTATCGCTGTGGCACAGAATTCTGGGACCCCAGTTGTGGATTCGGGAGGAGGTGCACAATCACTTGCTGAGGAAGACCTTGCCTCCGCCCTCAGGCGCCTCCTTGGCCTCCCTGGGAGGCAAGTGGCCACTGGGAATGCCAATTTAAAAAGTGCCCATGCCCTGGCTGGTGGGGCTCAGTGGACTGAGTGCTGGCCTGCGACCCAAGAAGCTACCAGTTCGATTCCCAGGCAGAGTACATGCCAGTTAGGGGCAAGCCAGAGGCAACAGATCCGTGTATCTCACACATTGATGTTTTTCATCCTCTTCCTTGCCCTTACCCCAAAAGTAAATAAAATGTTAAAAAAAAAAAAACCCAAAACAACCAATGTCCATGTTTGTGTTTTTGGCAGACCCTAAAGCAGAGCAAGAGAATAAAAAGCCTACTCACCTGACACAGGGGCCCTTTTGATGCCAAGGTCAGGAAATGTTCTTTACAAAATGGATTGATTGAGGCCATCTCATCTTTGAGGAAAGGAACGAATGGCTTGCGGGGAGATGCATGCTGAGAGGCTGACTAGTAGAGGAGCCTCCAGGACAGTGCTGATGAAAGGATCAGAACTGCAGAGTCCACTATCGCCTCCCCCAAAGGACTGGAACCCCTCCTTCATCAGCACCATCAACACTAGGTGACTACCCAGCATCGCTGTCCAGCAGGCTACAACCCTGGGCTCCAGGGGAAACCACAGGAGTCAGACGGGACCTTTTCGGGAGACTGGAAAGAAGGACGCTGAGGATAATTCTGTGGGAAAGGGAGTTTTCCTAGAATGGAGTTACAAGTGAATTTCTAGGTCAAAAAAGTATGTGCATATTTTTTGGGTCTTGATATAAAGGGTCATTTCAGGGAGATTTGGACCCATTTCTACCCTGCAAAACTGGGTTACCCCAAGGTTTCCATTCCCATTAAGCAGCTTGCACCAGAAAGAGATCATGTAGTATGGCCAGAGGCTCGAGGCAGGTAGGGCTGGCCTGCATCCAGGACACGGGGCCACTGTGGATGCCTGGCAGAATCAGGCTGGGCATCAGGACCTGGGGGGCGTGGGATCTAGGAGGCCTTAGGACCCTGTGCCAGCACCTTGAGCGGAGCAGAGGCAGCAGCAGACCCCTGCTCTCAGGCCTGGGGGAGCCTGGTGGGCAGCTTAGGGAGTGCCAGGGAGTGCAGCTAGGTGCCTCCAAGCCCCAGACCCCAAGTCCAAGCAGCCTGGGGCTGTACTCTGGACAGCAGCCACTGTGAGGAGTCTGATGACAGGGCCCAGATATGGCTAAAAGGTGGGCCTGCCCGAGGAGAACGCTGTGCACACCAAGCAATTGAATGGAGCTAAGCAGGAGGACCCCTGGGGGCAAGACCCAGGGATGGCCACTGACCTTGGAGGAGCCCACTCCAGCCTCAGCTCCCGGGAGACCTCAACTCTCCCAGGAAAAGAAGGACCGGGTCTCTGGCTTGGGCCATCAGCTTCCCAGAGGGAAGGCTTGGGAAATGACCACTGACTGCCATGTCTGACTGACGTTCTAGCAACAGAAAGGGAAGAAGGTCTTGCTGTGCCGGGTGGCAGTGGCTGAGGCTGCCCCTCCGCGAGGGCTCACTTAAGGGCTCTTCCTGGACCGAGCAGAACCCAGGGGAGCCCCCTCTCCATGGGAGCCACCAGAGGGCGCCCATCTCTCATGAATCTTCCAACTTAGGTTCCTTGAGTGCCCGTCCTTGCACTTGGAGGGGATTTCGTGGGTAGATAGGATGGAGGTGACCCTGGACCT